TTAGCTTACATTCATCGTTCAAAAAAAGTTCAAGTCCATACTTTTATGCACAATTAAAGTTCAATAATGTACTCGTCAAATTGAAACCATTAGTAACAACATGCATGATAAAGGTGTAATCACACATTAAAATTTGGTTTTGGCAATATTTCGGCTCTTGCGGGCGAATTTTGAAGAAAAAAATTGAAGTAACAAAATATAATTCTTAAAATTTGAATAAGAAATAGAAAAATATCAAGGAACAAACATGTAAGTGTAGCAGGTTGGCCTGCAATTGAGATTAAGATCTTTGATCTAAAATTGTGAGAAACATATTTTGTTGGCTTTTTTGGCATGAGTATCTTACATCTTGTCATCTATTTTAATCAACTTACTTCATTAATTACTTGAAATCCAACATGTTGTTGTTTTATTAACTAAATAAAAAAAACTACCAAGCACAAACCTACATACAATTTTCCTAGTAAACGAATTTAAGTCTGAAACGGTTATTTTGATCTTTATCTCAAAAATTAATTAAATTATCAAGTTATGTTCAGTCTTTCAGTCAATTTTCAGATTAATTGACTGCGGTAAATTCAGTATCGTTCAGACGACTCGCTTGTAGTAAATTTAGTATTGTTCAGTAGCTTTCCGTAAAATGCAGAATGTTGTTGATCTGTACAGGTAAGTAACAACTACTGAACAGTCGGAATTTAGACTGAACAGATCTTAATTGACTGCACGCGAATGGTTTGAACAGTACATAATTGACTGCATTGGAAAAAACTAAAATTCTTTTACTAGTGTTTGACAAATGATGAAAAATCTATACAATAGACCGTTTCGAGTACGTTGCATTTCTGTCAAAAACTTTAGTTTTAGTGAACATCATTCGTGCGTTCAGGGGCATCGTCACTTCTTTCCCATGTTGAGCGAGCGATGGATAACATATGATTCTATATTGCACGAATTATTCGGCAAATTAAGTTTTATAATTGATTATCAGCACTGCTGTCATTAGGGAATTGTGATTAAGTACCTATGGAACAAACATTATTTCTAGTTTATCCTGCATAATGACGACCACGAGGACGCTTTATGAACTTTAATAGTGCAGGAATACAGGCGATCCCCTCTATCTGGTAAATGACGTCATAAAGGCAGGTATAAACGACGAACTTTTCCAGTAAAGAACATAAGTCGAAAGTTGTTTTTATTGAGACTCTTCCTACATCTTTTTTGTTACTACATGTAACATCTATGTTATATAGGCACCTACGTTTTAATATTGTATTTATATTGTGTCATAGATCATACTTATTCGTTCAGTGTATGATCACTTTTTTTTGTTTAATGTGTTTTATATCGAGTTTAGCCATTTCAATTGATATTTTATAGTGTGTCTTTTTATTTTGTAATGTTACACTACTGTCTCAGGTTAGAGTGAAGGTTGGCGCCTGTTAAAACGTTTAATCCCGCTGCATTTTTATACACCTGTCCTAAGTCAGGAGCATGTTGTTCAGTAGTTGTCGTTTGTTGGTGTTGTTCATTGGTGTTTCTTGTTTCTCATATAGATTAGACCGTTGGTTTTCCTGTTTGAATTGTTCTACACTAGTCATTTTGGAGCCCTTAATAGCTTGCTGTTCGGTCTGAGCCAAGTTTCCGTGTTGAAGGCAATACTTTGATCTATAATTGTTAACTTTTAATACATTTGACTCGGATGGAGAGTTGTTTCATTGGCACTCATACCACATCTTCTTATTTATATTAGAAGCAAGTTGATAATTTATAATATTATTGTTAATTCAAATAAAAAATACAAATGTTAAGAGTAACGTAACCTGATAGAGTTATGGGCCACGTCTATACATTTATTATAATTTTAGAATTACTACTGAATAATGATACATTTTACAATCTATTAATGTATAATCTAAAACATTTGATGTGGTATCATTATCATGTTTATATCGGGTGCATATATTACAGATAACCTTACACCATTTGGCACAGCTACGCAAAGTTCTCACTTCGGAGGCGATTATGGTAAACCAGAAAATGCTATAAAACCACCTATATCAAATAAATGGGGTTTGTATATATGTACCCATACACATGTAGACCGTTATAGAACACCAGCAGATTGGTGGATGTTTCAATTTTCATTCGGATCTGCATACATCACAGACATAACTATTTACTATAGAGAAGGCTGTAAGTATACACACAAATACATCATTATTAATACCATAGACATTTTTATGCTAAAGTAACTTGGAAAAGGGAGGCAAAAGATACAAAAGGGATATTCAAACTCATAAGTCGAAAATAAATTGACAACGCTATGTCTAAAAAAAAAAGACCAACAGACAAACAATTGTACACAAAAAACAACATAGAAAACTAAAGACTGAGCGACACAAACCCTACCAAAAACTGGAGGTCATCTCAGGTACTCTGGAAGGGTAAGCAGATCCTCCTCTACATGTGGCACCCGTTATATTGCTCATGTTGGTACAAACCCGGCAATAAGTCTAATTTGGTAGGTCACATTCGGGCAAAGGGGACGGCTATCATCCGTTAAACGGATATTCCATAACAGTCAACCAACTCGTGATGGCGTCCGTAAAATTAACGAAAGGATGATTTCAACTTCACCACTTGGAATTCTTGGTTTAATAACTTCCTTGTGAGCAGCAACCCTCTATCAATGATAGCAAATACAAGGCCTTGAATATCATATCTACTGGGAGATATATACTCCGTATGCAGGCGCTGCTGGAATGTTAATACATATAAATTGAAAGTTCACAATTGGGAAGATGAAATAATCTCTTTTGTCGTAAAGTTTGGTTTTCAACCGGCCCTTATTGTCAATCTCTAGATGTAAGTTGAACACTCTTCTGACAAAACCTACAAAACCTTCAAGGTATTGTAAATGTATCATTAAACTAAATATTTCGATTCAACGAGATATATGTATGTTAGATATGAATATAATGTCAACGGATTTTTAAAAAATATGACAGGTTTTTTAAATACTCGGTTGGAGACAACATACTCGGCAGTTTTAAACAACTATTACCACTTCATTATTCTCTACTGGTAAAATGTCCGCTAACATTTATGTTTTGTAATTGCTTATTCATAGTTGCATCAATAAAGTATGCTGGTGATAAAAAATGAAAACAATACTTTTTAAATTGGATACACCAAAAACGCTTTCTTGGATTTACCTTCACCAGGAACTTTCAAACAAAATATTTGATTGTCAAGGATGTATAAGAACCGAAATAATTGAAGAGCTATATGACCAAAAAGTACCTAAACATATAAACATAATAGCCAAATTCATCTAAGGTCAACTTTACTATCAAAGATCTGCTATCGTTACATTGCTAACGTTAAAATCTAAACCTGGATTATTTTTTGTGTTACAGTTGCTCGTCGTATGGATGGATTTAAATTATGTGTGACCAATACATCATCTATTCCACATGACAGTGATTCCTGTTATGAAGATCCCGATTCAGGTCTTCCAAATATCACTCAGACTTTTTCTTGGAATCAACTTGGAAAGTATGTCACTTATTACGATAACAAAGGATCAACAGAGGAAAATGGTCGCTACGATGGACCTGTTGTAGAGTTATGTTACGTTGCCATTAATGGTAGGTTCATCACTATTGTGTAAAGAATTTTCATATTTTCCACTATAATAATTTGTCCCTTTCTTAACTTGGTTTTTAATTTCTTCCACATATTTAGCTTTTAACAATAAGTATGATTACAGCTTCTAAATTTTCGGCTTAGCTGCATTTTACGCATATCCTGGATCATGGAGAGAGAGAGAGACAGAAAAATTAATTAAGTGAGCTCAACCTTGCAAATATAAGTTTAAATCACACTTTAAACAACTAGAACTAAAAATGTATAATGAGTATAACTAATGAAACATTCTAATCAAGGTTTATACTAACGAAAGCAAACATTTTGTATAACAGATAAATTTTAATGATCGACAAAAAACTGTGCAATTTTATAATTAATTTTGAATATAGTTCTAAATGAATCAGCGATTAATTCTTTTAGTCGTTTAAACTATTATTCTTTTCAGGATGTCAAAAAAGTTTCTGGGGAAGTAATTGTGAGACAAAGTGTGCCGAAAATTGCATCGAAGGTAATTGTTTCCCAGAAAATGGTTCTTGTGTTTGGGGATGTGACCCTACAAACTGTTTAAATGATGTTTGCAATAAAGATACGGCAGTTTGTACTGACGGTTGTAAGAAAAGAAGAACCGGAAGCCATTGTTACAAATGTAAGTGATTATGTAACAATATTATATATAGATGGTATGTAATAATATAAAGTTAAGCTTCTTTATGTCATAATCGTATACTATCAACGTGAACAAAATATAACAGCCTTATTGTAACTTATAAACCTACTAAAATGAGCAAATAAGCAGTGCCCAGTATACGTACGTTAATGTATTAAATAACACAATTGTAATGTGGCTCTATTTAGATATTTTATGAATGATGTTATATACTGAAACTACAGTCGAAACTACAGTCGAAATTCACTTAGACAAATTTCAATAGGACACTTTTGACTATGTTGTTCTTGTCTTTTTGATTTTAATGATCAGAAACGAAAAACTTATAGCACCATTTATGTATAGTGCCAGCATGTCATTTTAGAATTAATTTCAGTACGCTTGTTAACAAAAATTTATAAATTTGGAAAGTCATCGATATGGTTTTCCAAACTTTTGTTCGCCAGCTATCTAAAATTATTGAAATACGACTTGCGAGTATTATAAATCATTTGAAAAAAAACTTATCCGAATAGAAATCGGTATTAAACTGTGCATATTTGCCAGATCTGTATATTAACAAACGTGTTTTGATAAATGGTTTGTTGACATATACACACAGCTTTTTATTCCAAGTATTCGTTACAAATATTTTCTGCAATGGAAACATATTAACTACATCTTTTGTCACAGATAACCTGGCTTCAGACAGTTTGGTCACACAGAAGCCAAGCGGTAGTCTAGCGGCCAGTTTAGCTATTGACGGAAGTAAAATTTCATGTTCCAGAACTCAAGGATCTACTGTAACATTTCATGTTGATCTCATGAAAGCAAGCATTGTAACAGGAATATTTATAACATTTGGTGGTATGTAAGATAACAGATAATAATTACTATAATGAATACTATAAACATCAACTTTAAAAACCACATTAATCTAATGACAGGATAATTTATCAATACACGTGGAACGAGTATTTAAAGTTTTAAAAATATCAACGTACTCTTCATTGTGGGATGGACCATCTGTATGTGCGATTTCGAGTTTTCAGTAATTGTTACAAGGGCAATTAAATATTTGCTGATTCTTCCACTTGAATATTAATATGTAAGGTTTTTTTCATGTCGTCTGATATCTTTTTTCTGTAAATACACGTCAAACTGTTATTATACATGTTATAAAGGTAAACTTTTTCATAAATATTGATATTCAGGCAATCTATATGATCAAAGCAGTAAAGACTACATATTCAGCTGTTTCATTGTGAATTCTCTTTTTCATCCCTTCATTAGTTTATTGTTTTATCATCATAATTTTAAAATATCTTAGCATAAAGGACATATGTACATCTTTACAACTCTGTATAAAATTAGGAAGAATCCCTATAAAATAAAATCATTATATATTTAGATACATGATTGAACGATTATTAACAAATACATTCATTGTTAGATTTGCCAATCGAAATATTGACCAAGGTTTAGTGTTATTGATTTGTTATTCACTCTTTACTACATCCAGAAAGGCATTTAAACTCTCTCTCATACAAAGTTGACTTAAGATGGATTTGGTCATTATTTTAGTCCCTTTTTGATCATATAGCTCTTCAACTGGTTCGATTCTTATGCATCCTTGGCTTTCAAATATTCGGTTTTGAGCGTTCCTAATGAAAGTAAATCCGGAAAAGCACTCCAGACGCATGAAAGTTATAAAGTGTTGTTGTCAGTTTTTACTATTGTTATATATACCGTATATCGGCTTGTTTTCGCGTGTGTTTAATTTTTGCTTTGTTCGCGGCAGCTAAAGAAACGCAAGCATTTGACACCGCGTAAATTTACCTGCATATGCCCAGATTTACTGCTGTTGCATACATTATACTGTATATTATCGAGTATTCACGAATATGATACGTATAGACTGTTCTCAACTAAAGAAGAAATAACTTTATATATAAAATCAGTCTTTTGTGTTAACCGACAGATCACAAGAATATACATATTTAATCAAAATTTAATTAAAATCTCTCGTTTCATAATAATTAAATTGGCTTATTATACATGTCATACCTTTGAAAACACAGCAATCAGTGACAAGTTCCAAATGTTTATTAGCGACGATCTATTCAATGTTGTTTTACACCGAATATTTTGCATATTAGATGTAAAAAAAATGAAAAATCATATGGAAATTTGCAAAAATACATGCTTTAAAATGTTAAAACTGTTAAACCATCGCAACTTCCAATTTCAGAATGTCACAATGTACATTATTTACTTTCTTGAAAGATCTCCGAATTATGTGTATTTAAGATTGTAGTACTCGTATTCATTTGTAACCGATAATCTGTCAGTTAATAAAGTTTATGTCGTTTACATCTCTATCAATACGGTACAGTGATTTTTTCGTATGTGCTTTCCCATTCAGCAAAAATTATACACATCGAAAATGCAAACTGCCCCATTTTATCATCAAATCACGAAAAAGAGCAGACGCGAAAAAAAACCAGATATACGGTATTAGGGAAAATATTTGGTTCATTTTTTGACAGGTTAGATTTATTTTTCGAAACATATGTAAATTAAGACCTGTAGATGTTTTCACATGTAAAATTCACCTAAATGTATTTTTAGATCTGTATTGGTTGTGAATGTAATAGGATACAATGTACTCCTATGTTTGCCCTTTAGCATTATGGTAGACTTAAATGCTCTGAAGCATATTTAAAAAATACTATAATGAAAATTATAAATGCTTATTTGATGACAAAATGAAATGCTCAATGGGTCAATCAGACAATAAAATATAAAAGAACAGTCATAATCAGAATGTCAAACATTATGACCGGCAGGACGGCTTTTTGTTTCTTGTGTCGCCGATTTTTATATTCGTTTTTTTTGTAGTGTCTAGTTAACTAGTTCTTTTTAAGGAAGTATTTTCAGCTCGGTCAATATGCACGTAGTTACAGTATCGGATCAATTTCAATGAATACTACTGTTTCAAAACACACAATAAACATCAGGATAAAATATTTGCATCAACAGTGAAGTCTTTTCCAGAGAACGTCATTAGAATGTAGTACTTGCAACCTTAGGCGTTACTATTTTAGCGATCAGTCAGCAGTCATCGATCAGTCACCGATCAGTCAGGTCGCGTCAAACTCACGTCACCAATCCGTCAGAAGCCTAGTGAAAACCTTTGACTGATCGAACGGATCGAACGGATTAAAATTTATGGCGGACTGAACTGTTCTTCTATAAGTCATATGTTGAACTCATACAAATTACGGAATCTTACCTTCGTTTCTTTAATTCTGTATCTGTATGTTACTCGAGGCAGGATTCGATCGTGGATATATGCGCACAGGAAGGAGAGCTCGATGGGTAGTCCAACTGCCGTGAATCCCTCAACTGTCATTTGGGCTATTGTTTTCGGAAAGAGGAGTTCTTTCGGGTTGTCTGATTTGCAATCTTTCATTTTGAATGATCTTCTATTTCGGATTTCTTGTCTTTCTACGATGTTCGTGTCTAGGAATTCACTTTAGTTTTTTTGCATTGACTTGGCGTAATTAAAATGGCATCACGGAACTATACGAAATACGGAGGCCCGACATTTTATCATTGATCATTCAGCAAAGATTTCAACACTAAAATTTTATGTTTGTAAGAAGACAACAGAAGTATGCAGATTAAACTAAAAATTAAATCTCAAAGAATTGAGATGGTCGTAAATATATAGCCATATTTTTCAAACCCAATGAGTGTTAAACACGATGTTTATTGCGATTGGGTAATCTTCGAAATTGGACGAAAATGCTCTTAAAATCAATTGATCAAATATTATAAATTTCTGTGAATTAAGTTCAATGGAATAAAGAAATATACAAGTGGCACACATTAAAACATGCAAACACAATATAAAGTTTAAGTATCTTTTACATTATATTATTTAAGAAATAATTCATGGCAGCCGTAGATTTGTTTTCATTTAACCATGGGTTATGCATTTATATTCTATTATTTTATCCCGAGCAATAGCCGGAAGCATACATATGACGTCATCTTGTTTAGTTGCCGAAGACGATAACATCATTTCGCGGAATTTTCATTTTATGAAATTTTACAACGAAAAATAATGAAAATGGACTGATTTGTTTATTTTGCTTTAGAATAGGGATAACTGTATTGTATCTGAATATTGGCCTACGTAAACCATGGGTTTTTGCAGTGGAAAATTGAGTATACCTGGTAGTATAAATAAGTTGGGCGTAACGCGGAACAGCCAGTTTTGTGTATTTATGCGCTTGCGCTAAAAGTAGATATACTGTGATTATACTGGTTGACGATATATAGGTCGTCATATTAGAATCAAATTTTATAAAACATAACTTATTCAGAGGCATTTTAAATGACTGATTGCAAACACCAGTGCGTTATTGCCATTAATAAACAAGACGAACAACCTTTTATTATCTTTCCTCTGATATTCGTCATATTTTATGGGGAAAACATCCTGATGTTCATAAAAAAAACTAATACCAAAAGGCAGTTCTTAATTTCAATTAAAATAAAGAATATAACTTCTTACTTATTAAACACAAACAAAATTTTATTTTATTTTCTGTGATAATCATCATATTTTATGAAACAACAACCCATCCAGATGTATAAAAGGTACTATAATCCAACGGCGGTTCATGATTTCTATTACTGTGCTTATTCAGTTGCCTTTGGGGTATCATAACAGCAATGGCTAAAATAGTTTACCAAATTGCAGTTTGAATTCTTCTCCAACAAACTGGTAAAATATTTTAACAAATTGATTCAGTGAAAGTTTGTTAGTATGAAGTGATTGCAGTGAAATAAAAGGTAATACTTACCATCCGGCTCCAGTTAGTTGATGTCTATGTCATGAATTTCAAACAAAATATAAATGACTGACTATAATATGAGTAACTGGTTTCAAAAGGTCTAACTTTGAAATGAAAACTTCTATCCTAAATAAATTTTATAAATAAATAGTTCAAAACAATATTTTGTAGGTCAATAATGTATAGCTCTGTTTTTTCTAACAGCAAGTAAGTGCGTAATTGTAATTTGGATAATATTTTCTAAAGCAATTACTAATCTGCTAATATTAAAGGGAAATAATTTACATAACTGTAAAATCAGCAAAATTTTGTTCTGTCAAATGTCAACTTCCTTCATTTTATAAGTAATTTGTTTTTAACATTATTTCCATGATTATTCAACTATTATCCTCTGTTTTGAAAAGAACACTGAAATTTATTTTAAGACGATTAACATTTTGAAAAAAAAACAATTGTTAAAAACATACTATGGAACACATTCAAAGTTCTATAAATCATACAGATTCCTCTGTAAATTAAGAAGGTATCACCAGCCCATTAATCAGCAATTCTGTGTTGACATGATTCTTCATTGATATGGTCAAAATTATAGATTAATTGTTTTGCAAAACTTTGAATTGTTCAAAGTACTAATGATTTTTTACCACCCAGGATGAGATTACTTATAAGGAGTATTTAGCAAAACCTTTAGGAATTTCATTTCCTCAATACTCTCCAACTTCGTACTAATTTGGCATTTCAATATTGTTGATTCGAGTCGTATTGATGAATCTTTTGTAGGCAAAATCATAAGCCTGGTATCTTTGATTCAATTTTTAATATACAATGACTCAATAAAAATGATTTCCCATTTAATGCCAGCAGATCAGTAATTCTTATAGAAAATATTTTCCAAATCACAATTACACAATAATTTCCTCTTAGAAAACAAAGCCATAAATTATTGACCTACTAAACAATGTTTTGAACTATTTATTTATAAAATGTATTTACAATGTA